GGTTTTGCACTTCCGAAAGTAACTATCAAGTAATAAAAGCGCCGACAAGCATGGAGGAAAACCATGACATGCAATCCCACTTCGCAAGATCGGAGGAGGGGATGTATTATGCTAGTTTGGATTACCATAGGCTTCGGGTGTGGATACTCTTGGAAGAATCACATGACCTACCAGAGTGGGTGCTAAAGTATGATGTCAACCTCAACCCTATTTCCCATCGAATGAGCACTCTATCTTCTCAAGAGATCAACAAGCCATGGACCGTAGATGACGACGACAGAAAGGAGAATCAACAGAGCGCTGAATGGAACTCCGACAATGATGATGTTCTAGAGTACGGATATAGCCAAGATCAGCAGCGTAACTGGGGCTTCCACTTCACGGGCTTCCATCCGTACAAAGAGGTCGTCTTCTTGAGTCACACTTATACTGATTTTGTGGTACCTCGTTGTTATTTCAATGCCGTGGCCTGTCACTTGGGCAGCTTAAAGGTTCAGTATTTAGGTAGAGACCGTCCAAAGGATGTCTCTCATTGGCAAAACGAAGAGGCATCATTTATGTACACTCCTTGCTTGCTTGATTTGCTTCCACAAAGGGGCTGATTTGGAGAGTCCGCTCGATCTCTTTGTTGAAGATGTTTTAATCTGTGCAATCCAAAGATATGTAGCTCTTTATGACTCAGAGATTATTTACTCCCTCCGTAAACTAATATAAGAGCGTTGATCTAAACGCTCTTATATTAGTTTACAGAGGGAGTACTACAGAATGATGTATCATTTTCTTATTGAAGGAAGGTTCAGTATTTAGGTAGAAGCCATCCATATTGGGTTTTGGTCATTGGCAAACTGAGGATGGTCGTTTATGTACACATCTTGCTTTCCTGATTTGCTGCCTCGAATAGAATGCTATTGGAGATTCAGCCCAATCTCCTCATTGAAGACACTTTGATTTGAAAGATCAGTAGCTCTCTATGCCTTAGAGATGATTTCTATAGAATGACGTGCCATTTCGACCAAAATCAAAGACAAAGGAACACAATGGTGAAAATGGTTCCTGATTTGGACGCTTGCTTCAGGAGATATTTCGATTTGAAATTTAGATCTAAAAATAGCATCCGAAACTCACTGGTGGTGACAAGTGTTGCACCTCATGTCCGCCACTAGTTTCCACCGGTGGCAATTGAAAGTATAACATTTGCAAGTGGTATCCTCTAATTGGTGATTATCCGCTATCTATTTATCGACGGAAGCAAGGGTTATTCTTGTGACAACTATACTTCTGTTGTTCTTTTAGGCCATGACAACATACGTACGGACATATAGTGGGACACTATTTCCTATTTGGTTCAGCAGCAATCTAATTTGCTCCCCCTTTTTTCCTCCCCCGAAAACCTCGCAGAAACAACATAAGCTAGCATCCCTGATAATTTGAAAATGAAACTAGTACGAACTATATTTTGTTTTTCCTGAAATGACAAATGAACCGACCATGGAGCCGACGTACATAAGTATGAATGGTAGGACACTGTAACATCTCCCTATGATGGAGCCGCAACCTTGGAGTACCTGGTGAAGCATGAAGAGCAGGAGGACATCCATGCATGTCATCAGGTGTAGTATATATGTGGAGCTGATGTTCGATTATGAAGAGCAGGAAGACAACATCCATGCATTGTTTTGTAGCAATACAACTTTGGTCCTTAGTTGAGAGAGTGAGATGAGTGGTTGAACCTGGTCTGGTAGAATATCTTAACTGGTTTCATTTCGACGAAACGGAAGAGAGAAAAACACGAAGAACTGAGCAATATGTATCCGCCCCCCTTAACACGCCCACTGTTGTGCACCTAAGCTCTAGAATTTGGGTGTAACAGGGGAGAAATATTGCCATTGTCATACTAGGATTTAACAAGTTCATCCTAAATGAATTATTCAACCCTAAAGATGCTGGATACCCGTTTTTGTTCCATTATTGGAACCGGTCCATTTTGTGATTGTATGGAGAAAAAACACCCTTTCTAACCTACTGGGATTGCATCTCTGCGCATGAAGGTTTTTTTTTGTCACCTCTGAAAATCCACGGACATCGCATGCTTATATAGAATCATTTGCCAATCATAAGCCGCTTGCATACATACAATCAATCTATCAATCATAAGTCTCTAATGTCTAACTACGATTTCATATACAGATACCAGCGGTCTAGGGAAACTGAACATTTTGACATGCACCTCGACTTCGCCCTTTGCTGCAGGTGAACACCTCTTGTGTAGGCCAAGAATTCCAGATTATTATGCCCGGCATGATCACGGGCAAGCCGCAATCTTATCCCGCTTTTGCACTCTGCAAACAGCAAGGCCCGGCACCATTAGTCAGCAGCTGAAGTTTACAAGAGATGGTATTCCAGAATGGTGTTAAAAAATTAGAATCCTTGCTCGGTACCGTTCCGATGGAGATGATGGTGTGCAGACTGTCTTGCGGCATGGCAGGATGCCAAGACCAGAGGAGGGGTTGGAGCCTGTCCTAGTGGGAGCAGCACAGGAAGATGCTCGCTGAGGGAGAAGATGATGAGGGAGCAGGAGCACAGCGTCTGCCATGAGGAATGCCTCATCGGGATCATCATGGATGCAAATGCGCCATCAGGGTCGTCATGTATGCAGCTCCAGGCATAACTTGAGCAACATTTGGCGGATGAACCAAGATACTAAAATCTGGAGCAAAATTTTACCAAAGCCCAGTAAATATATTAATCTCAAAGTTGAACGGACTACATGATTCAAGGAGTTCATCCACTTCATACTTGAACGAATCCAAGAACAATCCAAGCGTGAGCCCGGCTTTCCAGTAATTGAATATGGAAATCATATTCTTCATCCTGCCAAGAAGCGCAAAGGAAGCCCTGTACATGAGAGCGCCAATAACCTCGACGATGGCAACAGCAAGGCCCGCAGAAAGTATGTCCCAGTCGCCTGTTTGCCCAATGACGGTAGCAAATGCCGTGGCACAGTAAAATCCTATCAGGAAGAATAGGATCTTTACTGGAAACCCTCTACTTACTTTCTTCAGCTTGCCAGACAACTTCTTTAAAAAAGATTGAATTGCATTAAACAGCCGAGTGCTATTGCCAGAATTGTCGGGATCGTCATCTGCCATAGTCTTGATGGCCCATTGCATCCCCCTACAGAAAGAACAAAATAGTTCCAATTATATGTTATTGAACATTGTCAGAAGAAGCATGTTGTCTTTCAAGACACAGAACAATAGCTCGGGAAAGGAAGGCAGAGGAACACGCATAGCAGATTATTAGATCAAATGCAACTGATAGTGAACTGTTGCAATAAATAAAGAACATCTGATGGTATGAAAAAACACAAGAGCCCTTAATTAAAACTGAGTTCTTAACCCATGCCATTTACAATGCACTGACTGAGCTAGCACTCATTTCGGCTTCTCTACCTACAGAACCATGCAAGGACCCACCAACTGAATAAACGGAAATCCCACATTCTCTCCCTAGTTGATATTTGATGCATAAGGACATCAACCTTCAATGAACAGGTTAAATCTGGGAGACTTAGGTTAGGCATAACTAATCGCATTATTTAGTTAATTAACTACCACATCCCAACAGAAGGGTCTGAAACTGTAAGCTCACTGAACTGAGAACCTAATGGTAAAAGGGGAGGGCGTATATTGTGTGTGATATATGCATGAAATTGAATTGCTCTTTTCGATGTAATACTTGGCATATTGCCTGCTGGCCGCTCAATACACTTGCCTTGACATTGTAGATTTGCAATTGAACTCAGTGGTACAATGCATCTAAATTAAATAACCTTTCCATCGGAATTGAGCATGAGAAAGACTACCAGTCACTAGGATTTCCAGGGAAACCATGTAGCATTCGATTCAAACAAACAAAGTGCCTTAACAATCTCCAGCCATCCATGTTCTTAGAACACACAACACTGAATAATTTCTCATTTTTGGCATAAAACTGACAGAATACGAACTACATTAAATGCAAGATACTAGACAGTGTCTTGTTGCAAAGATTTTGACCATATGATGGCACCCCAAAAAATGAGAGCACTTACTTAAAAATGAGTTCTGAACCCATACCACTTACAGTGCACACGTACAGAATTCTGGAATTGTGCATCTTCTGTGATGTGGGAAGCGTGCAAGTACCCACTAATGAGTAAATCATGCATTCTCTTCCAAGCTGACATTTGACGCATAAGCACATCAACCTTCAGTGACTGAACATGTCAACGCCGGAATGCTTAGATTAGGTATAACTACTTTTCACTGTTTATTTAGTTTGCCGCCACATCAGAACAGAAGGGTATGAAACTGTAAACTCGCTGAACTGAGCGCCTCTTGGTAAGGGGGAGGGTGTATACGACGTGAGACACGCATAAAATCAAACTTCTCTCTTAGGTGTAATGTTTGGCACACTGCCTAGCGGTGAGTCAATTCACTTATCTTGCCATTGCAACTAAGTTCAGTAATATGATGCACCTAAACTGAACTAACTTGACATCAGAACTGACACTCAGCAGGGACTAATAGTCAGCAGTATTTACACAACACCTAAACGCCGCAGCATCTGATTCGAACAAACAAATTGCTTTAACAATCTCCAGTCACACATGTTCTCTAGAAAACACAACACTGAACAATTCCTCTTTTTTTTTTACGGAAACCTGACTGAATACCGCAATACTCATCAAACGACCTTCATCGGTGAAATCGATAGAAATTGCACAAAAACGTGTAGGTTGTAGCTACTTATTTCGGTATTATTCAGAGGTCTGTGCGTGGTAAGTGGTAACACACTGACAGTAAAGACTACCTGCTGCTTCTGCCGAAGGAAGGAGCCGCACGCACCAAGCGGAAGCTCCCCTGCTGCTTGTTCCGGCAGCACGCGACGGCGGCAGCCCCTCTCGGGGCGCAGGAGGACGCGGCAGCAGCGGCGACAAGGTTCCTCGACCTCGAGCATCCCGACCAGCACCGGCACCCCGGCGGCGACGACTCGACGGCTCCCTTGCACAGACGGAGAGCTGACATGTGCGCTGCCCGAGCATCCGCGCTGCAGACACAGGATTCGACCAAGAAATCTCAGACATCTGAACCAAATCGGCCTCTCACGGAGCTCGCGCCCGAGCGTATTGAGGGGGAGGGGGAGAGGGAGAGGTAGGAGGTGCAGGTGGATTACCTCGGAAGGGGCAAGTTCGTCAGGCGGCGGCGGCGGCGGCGGTCTCACCGGCCGCCGCCGGAGACCGCGGCTGTCATCGGCGGAGAGAGATATGGGATGGATGGTTGGTCGGCCTGCGGTGCCCGCCGAGACAGTGAAGGGAAAGAGAAGCGGGCCAAGCCCATGGACGGACCCAAATGTAATATATGTGGGCCAGACCGCCAGAGTGTGTAACTACATTACTAGGGCTTCCCGTCGTGGGCCACTCACTCCTCGTCTTGGGCTTCTTCTCCCCTGCTTCTCTCGGCCGAAACCCCCAGCGGAGCGAGCGGCGGCGGCGGCGGCGATATGCAGTTCCTCCGAGGCGTCGGCGGCGGGGGTGGCGGAGGAGCGGGAGGGGCGGGGTCAATGGCGTGGGAGGTGTTGAGGAGGCATTTCTCGCGGAAGCGGGCGGTGGACATCCGGCGGATCAACCCCAAGGTGCCCAAGGAGGAGGCCGTGGCCATCTCCGGCCGCCTCCTCCAGATCCTCGCCGACCACGGGCCGCTCACCGTCGGCAACACCTGGAACCACGCCAAGGTACGCGCGTCAACCCACTCAGCTGTCCGTGCGTGTGCCAACGACCTCTAGCTGTTGAGCTCGATGTATTGCTGCGACTTTCACTGTTCGTCAATGGCCGGTCAGTAAGATGCACTAGTAGTAAGAGCTGATGGAACTGGCGCCCGGAAGCGAGTAGTACAGCTTGGCCTCGGCCTATACTTCCTCCATTGATCCGATGATGCTTAGGCCAGGAAAGATTGTAGTTTCTGCCCTCTTTTTAGTGCCTTAGCTTCTTGCATTTGGGAAGCAAACAAAGTAGGAATAGATAGTTTTACTCCTCTTCGCGCCTAGCCGTTTTACAGACCAGTGTCTTGTGATTAGATGCAATATGCTGTATGTTCAACTCGGTGATCTTAGCCTCAGTATTTGGGTGCTAGTAGTATGATATTTCTGCCATTATTAGGTTTGTAATCGGGCATCTTTTAGTCCGTTGTCACCGAATAAGCTGAATGTGTATGCTATGATGGACACCTGGTGGTGAGGTAAACAATTGATTCCTGTTCATGCCACTTCTGTTTTAGATAGATGCTCAAATGTGGTTACTGCATGACTTTGTTATGCTATCTATTCAAAGTGTATGTATTGAATGTCCTCCTGGACATGCAGTTAGTCTGTATCTGTCTTAGCAGCTAACATGTCTCAGCATTCCGGCCAACTGCCTGCTCACATCATGGCACTTGAGAACATTCATGTTCTCTTTTATCCATTCTCACATTCTGGCATCTACTACTTCAACGATCTCACAGTGGCGGTTTAGGACATGCTTATCCTTGCAAAAAAAAAAAAAAATGAGCTCAGGCAGTACTACTGTTTATATCTATCATTCAGTACTACTGTTTATATCTAATCAAGAGCTTGTCATTTGGGGATCATGTAATACCAGTGCTTATTATATGCTTTGCGCTGATGAAGATAATCTGATGATGGCAACAGGATGCTGCGATCGACGGCCTGAACAGCAAGACCCACATGAAGATCCTGCTCAAGTGGATGTGGGGGAGGAGGATCATCAAGCTCTCCTGCACGCAGGCCGGCAACACCAAGAAGTTCCTCTACTCCCCGTTCACCGCCGACGACGCCGAGGCGGCCGAGGAGCCATCGCCGGCCGAGGAGCAGCCCAAGAAGAAAGGGTGGAAAGGGAAACACCCAAAGTACCAGACCAAGAAACAGCCGGCAACAGCGGCTTGACCCTGGTCTGCCTGCTGTGAGCATCCCTTTCGGGCATTTTCGCGCTGCTGCTGTTATTTTTTCTGTTTTTTACTTAGCACAGAATAGTTTTCTCGTCATCTGTTTGACATGAAAGGATTTTGTGATGGACCATTTGGGGTTGCCGCAGATTACGCTGGCAGGCCGGGTTGCTGGGCTCTGTGTTGTAGACTTGCTGGTAGAATAATGATGACATGAACATGATAATCTAGTACTCCCTCCGTAAAGAAATATAAGTGATCTAAATGCTCTTACATTTCTTTATAGAGAGAGTATCTATCTATCAGTCTTGAGATGCATTGTCTGAGATTTGTGTGACTGCACTGGGGCTGGGATAACCGAGGTGAGCCAGAAAGGCCGGAAAGGAGGATCGGTTAGCGTAAGGTGAAATGGGTTCGTTCCTTCCTCTTTGTGTGTACAATGTGCATCCGTTTGCTTCTCTTTCAATTTCATTTTATTTATGAAACTAGTCCCTTCCTTTTACCATTACAAGCAAGAGGTGTACCGCTGCCACGAATGCGGCGCGATCATTGGATTTTTAGAGCCAAAATTTGGTAAAGCTCTCTGACTGACAGAATCGTTAACATTTGAGAATTGTGGCTAGTGTTTGATTAGAAGAATTGCCAAAAATTAGAGCCTAACAAATCGGCTGCTAATTTATTAGGGTTGCCCAAAAAAATGCCTCCAAACCAAACCAAGCAGGCTCTATGCTTTGGGTGCTGCTAAATCCATGGCGTGTGTGCAAATTATGAGCGTCACGACTTGTTTTTGCGTACAATACAGTGTGCATCCCGTTGCTTCTGTAATTTTTGCGGGGGTAAAATAGCTAGGGTTATCTTCTTCCTTCCAACGAGCAAGAGTTGTATAAGCACGAATTCGTCACACGCCAAGGGGTTCATTGGTTTGGAGCCACAACATGGTAAAACTCTGACATAGTAATTGTTAAGAATCGACAATTTTGGCTACTAGTGTTTTTGAGGGAAGGCCAACATTTGACAATTTTGGCCAAATTGCCAAAAAAGTTAGCCTAAGAAATCAGCTGCCAATTTATTAGTTAGGGTTGCCAAAAAAGTTTCCAGGAGAGACAGACATCATCTTCCAGGGGAGACATGATGGCGTTGTCGCCGCCCTGCTGCTCCTGCTCCTCCTCGTGGTGGCCGCGCCGGTGTTGTGCGCCGCACAGAGCCCCATCTCGCACCCGCCGTCCCCGCTCCTCCGCCCTGACGCCGACTCAGACAACAACAACGGATCCGCTGCGAGCTCCCCGGATGAGGAGAAGGCGGCGGCGGCCTCCTCTCCGGCGCCCACCCACACGTCTCCCGCCTCCACGCACTCGCCGACGCCGTTGTCGGCCCTGCACTCCGCCGCCAGTCCATCCCCTGCCCCTACCGCCGACAAGGACGACTATTACAACAACAAGAAGAAGAAGGAGAAGATGAAGGACGGACGGTAAAGAGGTTTCTTCATCGGACTGCACCCAAAACTTGGTAAAGCTCAAACAGTAGTCGTCAACAGTAGGTGATGAGGTGTCTGTGGAGTGGCGCACCGCCAGACTGTATCCTAGATGTAATAGCGGATGAAATTTCATACTTTGGATAAAAAAAGTTAGATGATTTCCCTAAAAAAGAACAGTTATTTTGGCTAGTGTTTGATTGTAACAGTTGCCAAACATTAAAGCATCTCCAAGAGACGCACAACGCGTGACGCGCAAAAAAGCGTTTACAACGCCGTTACGCGAGTTTTTGCGCGCCGCGGAGCGCTGGCTCCAGCGGCTGCTATCTTTGTTCTCTTTTGTACTACGACTCGATATACATATAGGCATAGATAGATAAAAACAATAGATAGATAGATTAGCCGGTAGATAGATAGTACATACATAGATTAAACGGTAGATAAAAACCGATACATAGATAGTGCGTAGATAGTTCATAGCCTCCTCCTATTATAGATAAAAAAAACTACTCGTCGTCCTTCTCCGACTCGGACTCCACCTCGGTGATGTCCTCCTCCGACGTCACAATGAAGGCGTCAAGGTACCGCTCGTCTTCGGAGTCCCAGGCCGACGCTGCTCCTAGCTCGATGTTGAACTCAGCGGCTGCCTTCCGCGTATGCTGGTCCTCGTGATAGGCGGCTCACTCCGCCATCCTCTCCTCCCTCTCCACCCTCCTTTCCATGAAGAATTGCTGCTCGTTGATGACGTCATGCGGGAAGCGTTGGCGCCACAGCGCCATGGCTTCCTTGTCCATCTCGGCGAGGCTGAGATGACGATCCCGCCTCCGGTTCTTGCGACGATCCTCATCGGTGAGAAGCCGCGGGGGAGGCGCCAGCTCCTGCGCCATCCCGTGTCAACACCTCCGAGAAGTTCATGTCCCGGCGGCCACGCCGCCGCGTCGTACGCGCGGGCGGCCTCGTGGGCGGTCTCGAAGGTGCCGAGGCCGAGGTGCATGTCGCCGGACCGAATCTCGGCGAAGAAGGCGCCGGACGAGCGCGCGCGGGGCGGGCGCTGCATTATATAGGCGCGCCAAATCTAGCGCGCGACCGCCACTTTTTCCCACATGCGTGCAATTGTTTCACGTGGGCCTGAGTTTCCCGCCTCCACTGAAGTGCGTGAAACCGTCCTGCGCACGCTAAAATCGCATTTTACCCCGCGCGCGTGTTTTTTGTAGCCACTATTAGAGATGCTCTTAGAGCCCAACAAATCGGCTGCCAATTTATCTGGTTGTCAAACAAATCGGCTCCAAACAAAGCAAGCTCACAGACTAGGGCATCGGCGTCAGCGGCGGTATGCAATTCCTCCGAGGCTTGGGCATCGGCGGCGGGGGAGGAGGGGCGGGGTCGACAACAGGGGAGGCGTTCAGGAGGCACTTGACACGGAAGCGGGCGGTGGACATCCGGCGGATCAACCCCAAGGTGCCCAAGGAGGAGGCCGTGGCCATCTCCGGCCGCCTCCTCCAGATCCTTGCTGACCATGGCCCCCTCACCATCGGCAACAACTGGAACCACGCCAAGGTACACGCTTCAACCCACTCGGCTGCCCGTGCGTGAGTCATGGTTTAAAATTTCGACAATTTCAAGGATGGGCGCAGCTTTTGCCTTTTTGATGGGTTTGAATTTCTATGTAAAAATGAACATGGATCAACAAGAATTAACACATGTTATCCTAGTGCAGCGGTAGGAACATTGTCTACCGATCAGTAGTTTGATGGTTCGAATCATGTTTACCAACATTTTATTATTTTTGCACCAAATATACATTTGTGGCAAAATAATGTCCTAGCTGAGATTCAAACCACGACCAGCAGCTAGCATGTTAGGCTATGGACAAACAATCACGCTAGTTATGTAATTGTGTTAATTCTGCGCTACATGCTCTTTTATCTATCTTTTTAAATTTAAAATTATTTGAATTCAAACAAAAAATTCGTTGGTTTGTTCGAAACAGTTTTTGAAATTTCGATCATTTCGAGGGTGAGCGAAAATTTTGCCACTTCGAAATCATTTCGAGGATGATGGAGAGATATTCTTAGGATACTTTCGGTGTGACGGCACCCATCATTGTCTGCCAGACTACATCACGGGGATGCCAGAACACGACAACGAGAAAAAGGAACAAAACTGGTAACGAGGATCTCGGTATAGCACCGGTAGGTGTCGTGCCATGTCATCACCTGGGTGGTCCCCTCTTGTCAGTTTGAGTGCCAATTCGTGATCAGTGTTTTGGCAAAAACCTTGAAAATTTCTAGCGGTTTTCCGTCCCCAAAACGTAAAGTGGCATCATTTGGTGAATTTGACTCGAAAATTGTGGTTTTATGAACATCTCATACATGCACAATATCTCTTGTGCATGGTAGAAAATCCACTCCCTATAGTACCGAGGATACGGCGCATATAGCTACCGAGAAGCACAGTCACGATACAATCTCCTCCTACGCCCACGTGCATACCATGCATTCTAACACAACACTGTTATGAAATCAAGTTAAAAAACACTGTTATGAAACCCAAACAAAGAACTAACTAACATTGAGCCAGTTCCAGTGACGGCATGGTAGCAGAGTAACTCTTCATGATGTTCTCGAGCCTTACAACCACGTCTGTCATGCTTGGCCTCTGGTCAGGTGATTCGCTCGAACACATCAGACCCAGGTCGAATATTGGCACAAGCAAGTCGCTGCTCCTGCACGCCAATGAAGTGCTGCTCTGGTGATTTAAGAAAAAAATTCTTTCCTCAGCTTGAGCTATCTTAACGTCCAAAACGCCAGTAAGGTTTGCTGAAAACGCTTGCGAAACCCATTGCCTGATGCTCAATTCTCCCCCAAACATGGCATCTGTGGGTCTTTTCCCTGTGAAGACTTCGAGCAGCATTATTCCAAAGCTAAACACATCGCTCTTTCGTGATGCTTTCCCCATGAATGCGTATTCTATTGAATAGAAGAACGAAAAGTATTTGTTATGACAGAAACTAACAATACATAACTTGCCAGACTAGGTGTTCAAGGAGTTATCGATGCAAGTACCTGGTGCCATGTATCCAATAGTCCCCGGCATACTCGCTGAAATCAAGGAGTTGTCGTCTCCAACAAGTAATCTTGCAATGCCGAAGTCCGCGACATGCGCCACCATCTCATCATCGAATAGCACATTTTTAGGTTTGAGGTCGCAGTGCAACACAACTTGATGGTGATGGTGGTGCAGATACTCCATTGCTTTCGATACACCAAGCATAATATCCAATCTCCTGATAAACCCTATCGATTCTCCATTTTCAGAGTGCAAATGTACATCCAAGTTACCTTTGGGCATGTACTGAAGTAGCACTGCTCTGAATTCAAAGTTGGAGCAAGTACTTAATATCTGTATCAAGTTGCGGTGCCTAGCCATCCTTAGCACTTGACATTCTGCATCAAAGCTCCTCACAGCCTGCTCGACATGCATGTTGAGCACTTTTATCGCAACCTCCAAACCATCTTGTAATTTGCCCCTGAAAACTTTTCCAAAGCTTCCAACTCCAAGTAGGTTGTCCTCGCTGAAATTTTCAGTGGCACGAGCAATCTCGAGATAGGAAACTTGTCTATGACTGATAATATTATCCATGCCAATGGAAGTCGTAACTTGTAGCTGCTTTTTATTTTTCTTTGTGACCATTAGGTAAATGAGAATTGCTATAGCTCCTACAGTTACCAAGATAACTGGTAGAACAATCCTTAGCAAGTGTCTCTTGGTTTTGTAGGAAGTGTCTAGGCAAGGAAAAAATCCTAGACGTGAGGCACCACACAGCCCAGCATTTCCCATCAACGATAATTGTGCACTGGTGTTAAAGAAAATACCACCACTTGGTATCTCACCTCGGAACTCATTGAAAGAAAGGTTCAAGCTAGTCAGTAAAGTAAAGTTGGCTAAATACTTTGGAATGGTACCAGAAAGGTTGTTACAAGATAGGTCCAACTGCGTTAGGACGATTAACTCCTTGAACGAGCCATCGATGGAACCTGTGAGTGTGTTGTGTGATAGGTTCAGGAAGCTTAATAGTCCAAGATTCCCGTATGAAGTTGGAATACTACCAACCAAGCTGTTGGCTGATATATCTAGCATGTATATTTTCTTCATGGAATCAAGATTAGAGGGCAGTGCACTTGTAAAGGAGTTGTGAGATAGATCTAACACACGAAGGTTACTAAGATGAAACAATCTTTCAGGTATTGCTGACGAGAGATGATTATCTGCAAGCGACATATATTCTAGGTTACTTAGGTTACCGATGCCATCCGGAATGGTGCCAGATAATTTATTGCCCTGGAGGGATAGCCTGTGCAATCTTGTCAAGGCACCAATCTTTAACGGGATTGGGCCAAACAGCTTGTTACTAGAAAGGTTTAGCTGCTCAAGATTCTCCAATGATGCAATGTGTGCTGGGATTATGCCGCTTAATTGGTTGTCTGCAAAGGACATTACACTAAGACCACTTAGATTTGATACTGTCGCTGGAACACCCCCGGTTAAACGATTCCCGGCTGCACTGAGGTATGTCAATTGTCTGGAGAGGTTACCAATATATGCAGGAATGTTTCCAGTGAAGGAGCAATAAAACATGGCAAGCAATTGGAGTTGTCTACAGTTTGACATAGTGGCCAAGAACTCAAGGGTCCCATTGAGCTGATTCATTCCAATATGGAGACGGTTAAGGTACCTGAGGTTCCCAATAGTTTCGGGCAAAGATCCAGTTAATTGGTTCGAATCAACTAGCAGACTAGATAGTTGGGATAGGTTGCCAAAATTGGCTGGAAATGGACCTGTTAGTTTGTTTGATGTAAGACTTAAATGTGTGAGCTGACTCATTTCCCCTAGCTCGGCTGGAATATTTCCGCTTAGGTCGCAGAATGAGATGTCAAGAACACGGAGAAGAGTAAGATTTCTGAGCACACCTGGAATTGACCCGCTAACATCGTCGTTGCCACCTATAGTAAGAAAAGTGAGTCGTGATAGTTGAGCGAGCCATTCTGGGAGATTGCCCACAAAGGAGTTTCCTGCTAGAGAAAGTTGCACTAGTAGCTTGCAGGATACAAGGCTTGAGGGAAATTGACCTGTGAAACTGTTGAGACCAATGAAGAAGACGGTTAACATGGGCAAGTTAAAGCTTTCATTGGTAGGGATTGTTCCTGTGAAGTGGTTAGATGAGAGGACAAGAGTGTCAAGCCTAGACTTGTTGAATATGGTTAGAGGTACTAGTCCGGACAGCTGGTTATATTCAAAGTTGACCCATTCAAGCATGGCACATGTGGCAATACCATGTGGTATTGACCCAGATAGACTGTTGTTTTGGAAGTCAAGATGAGTTAGTAAAGGCGTGTTGTTGAAGAGTTGGTCTGGTATGAGGCCACTTAACCGGTTCACCCCGAGATGTATCCTCCTCAGGCTGTTCATGTTCTGGAGGAGTTGGTCCGGGATATGTCCGGAGAGACCATTTCGGCGTAGGGAAAGGCGTTGAAGCTTTGTGAGGTTTCCTAGGGTACTGGGGATGGCGCCCGAGAGGCGGTTAGAGCTAAGATCAAGATCGGTGAGGCGGCGTAGCCGTCCTATGTCGGATGGGATGGTGCCCGTGATCTCTGTGTTTGAAAGAGTGAGGACGGCGAGGAAAGAGAGGTTACCGAGATGAGGAGCGATCTCTCCTTGGAGCGGAACGTCTGCCAGCACAAGAGCGGTGACGCGCTCCCGATGGCGGCGGCTGCAGGAGACGCCGACCCAAGAGCAGAAGGATGTGCCGGTTGTCCAGTTCCTAGACAGGAGGCCAAGCGGGTCGGAGAGCCCGGCCTTGAAGGCCACAAGAGCTGAGAGGTCGGAGTCGTCGTTGCTGGAAGCAGCGGCCACGCTCGTGATCACAAGAAGAGAGATGGAGAGTAGCATGATGGGAGAAGGTAACGGACGGGCCATGCTGCTAGGTGCTAGCTAGAGTGGTGCTCTCCTCACAGTCACAGAGGGGAGGACTAGTAATCTGGTACTACCATCCATAAGCTAGCTGCTCTCTACTTAAGTACCCCAGCTTCATAGACTTGATGACAACAACCCGTTCCAGACATGGCGCCGGGTCTTCCCCGTTACGCACGCTGCCTCCTCGAAATCTCCTAAGACGCGTTCCGGCCGGCCGGCCCAAATTTGAGCCGGTCGCTCCTCGTACTTCCGATGCAACTTTTAAAACCGAATAAGTTTAGTCCCTCATGCTATTTTAGGTGGTTTTCTTTCGACTTGGTGTGGTATTATGATATACACTAGAGAAAAAAAATTGTTAGAGGCAGGGAAGGTTGCGCGCTGCCGGCCCCCATCGCGCTCCCGGTCGCCACTTACGCCGCCTCCTCATGAGCGCACAAGCAGAGCAGCAGCAGTGTGCGTCCTTCCGTGCCGGCTGCGACATATGCCTGTCTGACTGTGCCGATGGCGAGATCGTCCGTGTGCTAGCCTGCTCAACGGCGGCAACGCGACTTTTCGGCGCTGGCTTGATGTGGTCCGCTCGTAGTTGATACTATTACATGTCGATGCATGTACGTAGCAAAAGCAAAGTAGACAACTAGCTTACGTATGCACGTTAATTGATCTAAGCTGGTTCCTCTCGGGACAAAAGCACCAGCCAGTGTTAGCTCTCAACTCACACTGATGCATGTCAAGCAAACAACTTGACGCGCGGCTGGACACTTGCAGCGACATGCATGCAGCTGCCGGACTCGACGCGCACGGTCTCCACACAAAATAGTGAGCTCGTGCCCTGCTAACTGAATGGGAAGAAAACAGGAAAAAATCAACCGACTAACTAATGATTCAACAGCCAGAAGCGCTTCAGGAAGAGCTTGCTTTATACACGAGCGAGCTAGTACGAGGCTAGCTTTGTACAGGAGAATGACCGTCAGTTGGGCGCTACCTCGGCCGGGAGGGATGGCGTCATGGCGGACAGCCACCGCGCAGAATCAAAACCACTGCACGTTGGGTAGAAAACCACCCGAAGCTACGAGGGACTAAATTTATCCGGTTTTAAAAGTTGAGGGACTAAACTTATCTGGTTTTGAATGTTGAGGGACTAAGATTTGCTGGTTTTGCAGTCGAAGGACCATTTGTATACTATCAAAAAAGTTGAGGGATGAAAAATATACTTATCCCTTATTATAATGTTCCCAAATTAGACATATAGGTGCATCTTGACATTACAAACAATGTTGTCAAGTATAGTTTCCTACTTTTTTCTACAAAGAAATCAATTTTCATTTTCAAAGTGTCAAAACTGGGTGTTTTTTTGTGAAGCAACTACAAAAATCAGGGTGCAAAATGGCACCACTCAAATTAGCACAGTAAGTAGACCATATTTTATGCACAATTCCCAAGTTTCATGGATTTTCTAGTTTTCTAGCTACTTTCGCACATTTAAATAACTTTATGTCAATTTCTCAAAAGTAATTCAATATTGAACTGCAAGTGTGTAATAGCTCAATCATAAAAAATAACAAAATAAATATTTTTAGATACACAAATAGTCATTATATGGGAGAACCACTTAGAGTTTTGTCAATGTTGGGGATATCGCTTATCGGGAACTTATCGGTCGACCCATGATAAGGGGTAAATCGGCCAGTTTATCGGCACATCGGCCGATTTATCGCCATATCGGCTGATTTATCGGCCGATTTATCATATCGGTCAGACATAGGTAAGCGATAAATCGGCCGATTTATCATATCGGTCAGACATAGGTAAGCGATAAATCGGCCGATTTATCAGAAGATATCTTGAACAGTGGTTTTGTGAGATTCAATCCCTTGTGATGAATAGCCATGTTGACCATTTTGACCCCATTTTGAAAAAAATGAAACAAAAAGAATACAAGTTTTAAAAATGCAATTCTTTTGCATGGAGTCCTTTTATGTGTACTAGTTTTTTTCTTTGAGCAAAACACAGTGGGGAAGATCCCCACTGTAACTCTGATTTTCATTAACGATGATATGTTACAACCACTGTACAATGATTACAAGGTTACAAAGAGAATAAACTACAAGTAGTCCAACCAACTCAGCATGCCTTCTTTCAAACTAGGCTTGGCTTTTTTGATAATCATACTGAAATGTTCCCTGAAAGTGTTGATGCAATATGCCATGTTTCTTTCCTTGTGATCAAAAATGATATTGTTTCTATGTTTCCACAGACTCCAACATCCAGCAACGAGTCATTCTTTGAAACATGATGTGTTGTTCTGCCTTCTAGCATCCATTAGCATCTCCAATAAGTCATAATCTGTGTTCCATTGGAAGCCAATATTCATCCAGAAATTCTGACTAAAATCACAGCTGAAAAAAGAGGTGCATTAGATGTTCATTTGGCTCATAATATGTTGTTCTGCCTTTTATGTGTACTAGTTGCGAGGAAAACAAACAGCTTTTGTGCTTTGAAACTGGATATGATGAAGGCTTATGACAGAGTGGAGTGGGATTACCTGAGAGTGATCATGACCAAACTCGGATTTGAACATTGCTACGTCTTGAGCTTGCGTTGGTTTTCCTCGAAGAGGAGAGGGTGATGCAGCAAAGTGTAGCGTAAGTATTTCCCTCGGTTTTGAGAACCAAGGTATCAATCCAGTAGGAGGCTCCTCAAAAGTCCCACGCACCTACACAAACAAACTGAGAACTCGCAACCAACGCAATAAAGGGGTTGTCAATCCCTTCACGACCACTTGCGAAAATGAGATCTAATAAAGATAGTATGATAAGATAAATATATTTTTGGTATTTTATAAGATAGATGCAAAAAGTAAAGATGCAAATAAAGTAGATGGAAAGCAAATATGATAAGAGATAGACCCGGGGGCCATAGGTTTCACTAGAGGCTTCTCTCAAGATAGCATAAGTATTACGGTGGGTGAACAAATTACTGTCGAGCAATTGATAGAAAAGCGCATAGTTATGAGATTATCTAGGCATGATCATGTATATAGGCATCACGTCCATAACAAGTAGACCGACTCCTGCCTGCATCTACTACTATTACTCCACACATCGACTGACTCCTGCCTGCATCTAGAGTATTAAGTTCATAAGAACAGAGTAACGCATTAAGCAAGATGACATGATGTAGAGGGATAAACATATGCAATATGATATAAATCCCATCTTGTTATCCTCGATGGCAACAATATAATACGTGTCTTGCAACCCTTTCTGTCACTGGGTAAGAACACCGCAAGATTGAACCCAAAGCTAAGCGAGTGTGGAGGGATCAAATGTGGTGTCAAACCTACTTGATACATATTGTCGTGCTTCGGGCCAGAGGATCAATAATGAGAAGTCATCAATTTTTTTCAGCAAGGGGTGCCTAACACAGTTGAGAGAAAATATAAAACACACTCTGCATGTCCAAAATGAATCTTTGAGTGAGTGTTATCTGGGCATGCCGACTGACGTGGGTCATTCGAAGAATGGTACTTTCAAATACCTCAGAGACCGTGTTTGGGAAAAGTTTAAGGGATGGATGGCCAAGTTGCTTTCATCAGCTGGTAAAGAGGTTCTAATCAAGTCAGTAGCACAAGCGATTCCAGTCTATTCCATGGCATCTTTCCGACTGCCACGAGGTCTTTGTGAGAATATTAACTCCATCATCCGACATTTTTGGTGGGGTTCGAAACAGGGGAGAGAAAGCCATGCTGGGTTGCATGGGACACTATAACTATGCCAAAACATTTGGGAGGATGGGGTTTCGTGACATGGAGATCTTCAACCTTGCACTCCTGGCGAGACAAGCCTGCCGAACGTTCACTGATGACACTTCTCTTAGTGCCAGAATTCTTAAGGCGGTCTACTTCCCAGACTGCTCCTTGCTTCAAGCGGGACTTGGCTCGCACCCCTCCCAAATTTGGCGGGCAGTTCTGGATGGCCGAGATGTTTTGGCACATGGTCTTGTTTGCAGAATAGGGGATGGAGAAACGACCAACATTTGGCGTGATAACTGGATTCATCGGGACAATTTCAAGTGTCCTGCCCCATCACTTGAACCAGACGCTCCAGTTAGAGTTGCAGAGCTCATTGATAATACAACGGCGAGCTGGAATGAGACTTTGGTCTGGTCTGTTTTCACTCCGGGAGATGCAGAGGCAATTCTGCGGATCCCGCTATGCACACGCGATGTCGATGATTTCTGGGCATGGAATGAAGAGCCCCGCGGAGGATTCAGTGTACGCTCGGCGTACAGGATGATATTGAGACTAAAACACGCCCATGATGCCCTGATCGATGTGGAAGGGAGTACCTCGTATGATCCCAACGAAAACAGCAAATGGTCTATGATATGGCACATGCAGGTTCCCTCAAAGCTGAAAGTATTTGTATGGCGTCTTGCCCGACAGTCGATGCCCACAGGCACTCTATTAAAGCACCGGCATATGGCTATGGAAGATACTTTCCCAATCTGCGGTGCAGTCGATACATGGAAACATGCGCTTATCTCTTGTCCGATGGCGGCAAGTGTATGGGCTCTGGCGCCTGAGGAGTTAGTATCACATATGATTGATCAAGGGGAAGATAATCCGAAGGAGTGGCTGTTTGCTATGAATGAAATCCTCCCAAGGAAGCTGTTTGACCACCTGGTCGTTACTTTATGGGCAATCTGGGGAGCCCGACGGAAGGCTGTCCACGAAAATATCTTCAAAGCACCAAACTCAGTTAATACCTTCATTACCAAATATCTGGTTGAGCTTCAAGTTGTCAATAACAGATCACCAAGGAACCAGGCGCCGGCGGTGGTACGCTCCTCGTCTTGGGTGCCACCTAGTACGGGCAATGCAAAACTAAATGTGGATGCTGCGGTGTCCAGTGCTGGTTTTGGGACTGTGGGTGCAATATGCAGAGATGACAGCGGCCTATTCTTGGGGGGCTTCGACTCTTTGTTTTAACCACATCATTGAT